AACAGGGAGGTCGGTCCGAAACCTCCTGCGCAGCTGAAGACGAACCGCTCGGATCCAAGGGATCAGGACAGCAGGGACCTCACCCTTGGTGCGCAAGGGGAAGACCGTGGTGTAGCGCGAGTAGTCATCAACGACCAGCAGTAAGTACCGCTCTCCACCCTGTCCGTTGACACGGGCGGGGCCCCACACGTCCATGTGGAGAGTCTGCAGCGGAGCCTCTGTCGGAGGAAACGAGGAGGAGTGAGGAGCGGCGCGCTGCCGCCCCTCGACGCAAGGAAGGCAGGCAGGGGCAGGCGAAGCAGGGAGGGGAGGCAAGGTCCGGGGAAGACCAGACACAAGGACGCGACGGTGCATGTCGCAAAGACGGGGCAGGGAGGGGTGGCCCAGACGGTGGTGCCAGAGAACGGTCTGGTGTGACAGGGAGCGACACGAGCAAGGGGAGTCTAGCTGACCTAATGCGGACACCTGACCGACAACAGCGACCTTGGGAGACACAGTGGTCAGTGTGTAAAGGCTCGACCCTGGCGCACGCGTGAACGTGGCCAGGTGTCGCCCAGTTTTGGAGCACGTACAGATCGCCACACGCCGTCCTCCAGGGGTGAAGGTATCAACCCAGTGGTCCTGAAGGACAGCGTTGCTCACCAAGTTCATAGAGAACGAGGGGAGGTGGAGACCTGACAGTGATCCAGACGGGACCGCTGGGCAAGGAAGCACAGTGGTAGACCGTGCAAGGACTGGACCTCCCGAGGGGTCAGCCAGGGAGACTGCAACAGGTGCAGGGAGTGGTGTGAGGGTTGTGGTGTCACGGAAGAAACACCTAGAAGCACCTGAGTCAAGAGTGAAGGTGTGCAAGGCAGTAGGAGGCGCGGTACCTGACAGCGCAGACTCACCCGCACCTAAGGCAGCAGACGTGGTACCTGAAAGCGCAGACTCGCAAGCACCAAGAGCTGCTGGCTCTATACCTGGATCAGGCGGCAGACACAGGTAGCAGTCACCCTCAGCACTAACAGACAATGCATACATGGCAGCAAGAATAGCATCATAGTCAAGAGCAAAGATGTCTACACCCTTCTTAAGCAGATCAAACCAGCGAGGGGTCTCAACCTCTACACCCATCTCCTCACGCCAAGCGTCGTCAAGGCGGGAGAAGCAACGTTGCTGGGGGTGGGGCTTGCTGCATGTCTGACCAGCACGCTCACCGGTGCGAATGACATACAGACAGCGAGTACCCCCAGACGTACCCCTCTGAGCCAACCACTCACGAAGCTGCTGAGGCGTAAGGGACCGCTGCTGCTGCTGTCGCTGACCAGTGCCTCCACCACGACCGCCACCACCTCCACTGCCTCCACCACTGCTGCTACCGCCACCACCGCCACTCCCACCGCCGCCGCCACCACCACCACCTCCACCATCGCTGCTGCCACTCCCACCAGTACTCCCGGCGCCACTGCCTCCACTCCCACCGCCACCCCCACCTCCTCCACCTCCTCCTCCGCCGCCACCTCCACCACCGCCCTTGCCCCCCTTGCCCTTGCCGGTGCGGCGCCGCCCGGTAGAGGTAGAGGCAGCACCAACCGAGTCGGCTCCAAGGAAGTCTACAGCGGCAGCAGTGGCGTAGGACGGGGCAAGAGGGGAAGAAGCGCACCCCTCAAAGATGGGGGTGCGAGGAGCGCCACGAGCAGCAGCCACACTCACAATGCTGCTCTCAGCGGCTAAGAGGTGCTCCTCTAGGAGGTCTATGGTGAGGTCGGAGGGACAGCGCGCTAGGAAGTGGTCCCTGACTGAGCGAAGGGTGTCAGGGAGGCGGGTCACTATAAAGTGGAGTGTCCAGTACATCGGAGAGGGGTGCTGAGCAACAAACTCCTTGCGGAGTGTGGCACGGACACAAGCGTCACTAGAGCGAAGGTGGGTGATGAGGTTGGCTACAGTGGCAAAGCTCGACAGCTCGGGGAACAGGTACGGCAGCATGAGACGGCTGAGCGCAGCAGTGGCAGGGGAGGAGTAGCGAGCGACTACAGCGTCGTACAGGGCCTTAGCGGTTTTGTGCTCGCCAAAGTGCTTGAGTTCCGCTAGCGGCAAGTGGTTGCGAATAGCTAGGCGGGCAGCAGCATCGCGCGTCAGCCATTGAGAGCGCTCGCTAAGGGCAGTTGTGTCAGCAGGAGCGGCTAGGGCACCAGAGGTGTGGTCAAAGAGGGAGATCTCATCTTTGCTGGTGCTAATGAGGTAGAGCTGCAAGTCATCGAGCCAGGCGTCAAACTCTACAGGGCGGCCCTCAGTGTCGAAGGAAAGAACCCGAAGGGTGGCCATAGTGCGAGGCGGTGACGAGCAGCAGGGCGTGCGGGCGGCGCTGCAGAGCGCGGGCGGTGCTGCAGGGCGCGGGCGGCGCAGCAAGGTGTGGGCGGCGCGGCGCGCAGGCGGGGCAGGGCGCGCAGCGGAGCGGCGCGCAGGTAGGGCAGGGCGCGCGGCGGCGCGGCGCGCAGGCAGGGCAGGGCGCGCCGCGGCGCGGCGCGCAGGTAGGGCAGGGCGCGCGGCGGCGCGGCGCGCAGGCAGAGCAGGGCGCGCGGCGGCGCGGCTCGCAGGCAGGGCAGGGCGCGCGGTGGCGCGGCGCGCAGGCAGGGCAGGGCGCGCGGCGGCACGGCGCGCTGGCAGAGCAGGGCGCGCGGCGGCGCGGCGCGCTGGCAAGGCAGGGCGCGCGGCGGCGCGGCGCGCAGGCAAAGCAGGGCGCGCGACGGCGCGGCGCGCAGGCAGGGCAGGGCGCGCAGCGGCGCGGCTCGCAGGCAGGTCAGGGCGCGCGGCGGCGCGGCGCGCAGGCAGGGCAGGGCGCGCGGTGGCGCGGCGCGCAGGCAGGGCAGGGCATAGCGCGCTGCTGCAGGTGGCGCGCGACTCATCAGGGCGCGCTGCAGCAGGTGGCGCGATCACAGTGGCGCGACGGGTGGGGTAGCGCTACTCGGTGGGCCCTAAGAAATCGGTCCTAGGCTAGGACCTGCTCTGATACCATATCAGAAGAGTGAACAGGAATGAATGAACTATGAAAGAGTTGGGTACAAATATGAAACCCTAGAAGGGGTTGTACCCCATATTGGCTACCCCAGTACAGCCTAAACATATATGGCATATATACAATTTGACAGTTCAATCAACCAGTTCACTAAGACGCTTCTGCTAATACATCATTATCCTGAGCCTTAGTCTTGAAACGATCATAAGGGCTTTTCTCTGCCCAACAAGCTAGAACCGGAGAAATCTTGTTCCCCTACTGCCTCCCACACCGATTGCTGCAGAACGTGATGGCGAGAAAATAGAGGTGATAAAGTGATGGTTTAAACCAGTGTTTAAATAGATTCCTCTATTGTCAGCCCTGAGCGCATGTCGATGTGATAGGGCCGCACAGAAGGTTTCGCGTCAGCGCTGGCATGTGCGTTGCTCCGAGACGGGTTTTGTGCGGTGGAAACATAAATTGTGGATGTTTTCGCCAGGATTCTATGCACGGTTCCATGTGAATGTTTCAATTTTATTATGAGCGCATATGCGCTACAATCCGGGGCCAGATGGTAGTGTGCTTGCTACATTTATGTTGTAAAAATTGGGCATACATTTTTTAAGAGCATAACACGTATTGTCGTCTTGTAACGCTCATCGTCTCGCAATGGTCGGTTTCGTGTCGCGGCTGGATTTGACCCAGACCTTCAATTGAAGCTTCGAGGTGGTGAGGTCCGCTCCATGCACCGTGCGTTCTCTGTCAGCCGCGACCGAACTACTACCGCTACTGGACAGCGACCGACCAGGGGTGATTGATATGAGAGATTGTACAGACGATCTGCGATCACGGCGGAGTATATATTTCACGTCCCATCTTTGCGAGATGCTCAGCTAAACCATCTTGTTTGTGAAGTTATATAACTCGATTTAGTTATATTTATATAAGGTATAATTTTAAATGGATCTATTGATCTAGCTATATTTGAATATAAAACATGTTTTTCACGTATTGTAGTATTATTATGTATCCATTTATAGTTTACAGTTCTATATTAATCTATCACTATTATATATATGTCAGTGTAATAGATTTTTTTTTAATTATGATATAAAGTAATGAAGAATATAAAGCAAATTTTCTTTTATCATATTATATCCATTAGTATTTGTCTTAGCAAATATAATAGCAAATATAATATCTGATTGTTTAATTGGTTTTGTTTTTTAGGGTGATTTTGTGTAACACTAATTCAGAATATATTGTTATTCCAAGAAGAGCCAGCCTTCATAGAGTTTTACATGTGTGCTTTAAGCCCTTGTGGACATGTTCACATTGTAAACGCCGCCCTCCTTTAGCGGCGCGTCAGGAATGGATGTATAAAGTAGTAGTAGCAATGGAATATCAAGATCACAGAGAAATAATCGAAATGTGAAACTTGTTCAAACAAACGAATTTCCGGATCTTCTAGACAGCCAAGCGTGAGGAGCGCGATGCGGTGATGGCGGGAGGGAAAGAGAGGCGACTAGGAGGTGAGCGGCGCAGGCATCAACGGATGTGGTGTGGGCACCCCGATGCTCGCATCGCATCCATCACTCCCTCCCTCCCCCCCCCCACCCACCCAAACCAAGCCTTCCCCTGCCCACTGCTTGCCCAACAAAAGATGCAACTGCCTAACATCGTCTCGTCTTGAACACGGTACGCACAACCTGAAGCTGCAAATTCCAGGCTTTTCACACTGGTTCTGTCAGCATCCTAGACTCGCGCATCTAGCGCGTAGTTTCAGTAACACTGCCTGATCAACTGAGAACCCATAATTAAACGGCAATTGTTACCTCACGCAAGCTCCATTGACGAACGCAAAGCAAGCCCCGAGCTGCCTGTAATCACCTTATTTACCACTGCTCGCTACCGCTGAAAGTCCCACTCTCTTCCGTCGACTAAGCCGTAGAGTTAATCCGCAGATTCACTATACACTTGCTGCTCTCATTTCAATAGTCACAGGCGCACAGAGCTCGCCTGCATGGCGACTCGCACTGCCCGACTAGGCGGCGGTTGCGGCGGCGGATTTCCTTCCCGCACCGTGGCTGCCGTAGTGGCGGCGCTCATAGTCGTAGCTAGCAGGTACGGCCAGCGCGGGGCTGTGAGACGGCAACAAGTGGGTACGCAAGCGGGTAATCGGGTCGCAGGGGCTGTACGACAGCCGGGGCTGCGCAGGGGCGCGCAAGGAGGCAAATGGGTAGCGACAGCTTTGGCTATAGCGATTTCTGGCCCGAAATGCAATGCGCTGCGAGTCATCTTGTTTTTGTAGAACTGCTGTCCGCAAACTGCGCGATTTGCTGCGCTGGTTGCGTGGAAGTTGCTGTGCTGGTGAATCACGATGCCGTGCGACATCGCGGAAAACTCGATCGCGGATTTTGAGCGTCTGAAGGGTACAAAAGGTCGCGAATAGCTTCGGCAAAGTCCCAAGGATTATGCCGAAGCTACGCCGTTCGGAATGGCGTAGCAGGCTCACGTATGCGGTATCACCATGGCTGCGCTCCTTCCCGTTCCCCTTGCTTCCCCGCCCCGCATCATTCCCCCCCCCATCTCGCCAACCCCGGTGCAGTCTGCCTTCCGCCTCACCGTCGCCCGCGGCGACAGAGCCTGGGCCAGCGCGCCCCCGCGCCAGTCGCCCGCTCTCCTCGCTGCCCAACTTCCTCGCCTACCACCGCGGAGGTACTGCGCGCTGCGCTCGTCGCCACCGCATGCCGCCGCATTGCGTCGTCACGCAATCATATCCTAGTCTCGTCTGCTTTTAACGGCAGTTCCCCAGCCCTCCCCTTGACACTCCTCCCCACTGCCAACTTCCGCACGCCCGTTACCCTCGCACCCTTCCCCCTCTCCGCTACCCCTCCCTCTCCCTCCCCGCCCCCCCCCCTCCTTCCCCCCACCCCTGCCCAGAGCGCGTGCTGGCATCGCAGCAGTGCGGCGTGTGCTGCAGCGCGCGGCCCGCGAGGGTGCCGGCGGGCATGCCGGCGATGCTGTCGACGTGGTATCTGCAGAAGTGGCTCTCTGGCCAACGGGTGCGCGCCCAGGGGTGGGGGAGAGGGTCGTGTGAGGCAGAGATTGGGGCGCGAAGGGGACCTAGAAGGGATGGGAATGGTAGGGAGCGAGCGAGGGGATGAGCGGATGAAGGAAAAGGAATTTTCAGAGACACCACGGAAGAAAGGGAGGGGTGCGTGGTGCACGCAGCAGTGGGGAGCCGCGAAGAGTTTGTGTGCGGAGGAAGAGCAGCAGAGAAAAGGACGGGAGGAGGGATGGTAATGATGCACCTGGTTTTCTCTCTCACTCTCGAACGGTCCTTGCATTGATAGTCCAGAAGTTTACAGACATGCAGGCGAGTACAAATAACATCCTAAACAACACCATCATCAAAAGTCCTTTCTCTCTCCGCCCCCTCGTCCTCTCGTCTTTCGTCCTCTCGCCCCTCCCCGGTCTCGCCACCCGCGCGTCCCACGGCAGGTGCAAGTGAAGGCGTCGTCGTTCGGCACGTGGTGGCGGCCGGACGGCGGGGGCAAGGCGGGCAGCTACATCAGCAGCCGCGGGGCCATGCAGCCCAGCGCGCGGGAGTTCTTCACCGTGCTCGTCGTGGGGGCCAACCGCGTGAGTGCGCGCACGGGCAGATCATGTCAGTGCGGGGGCAGAAGGGGAGAGGGCGTGTGAGGCAGCCGGAGGATACGCGGTGTGATGGGTCCGTGCTCGCATACCTGCAACCTGCACCCGCACCTTGCCTCAACTCCCACATATACCCCCCCCCCAGCCACAACTACCCTACCTCCTGCCCCCTTCTCCTCTCCCCCCCTCCCTCTTCCCTCTTTTTTTTGATTTGTCCCCAATCCAATCACACCTTACTTCCTGCACGCTGCTCAGCAGAAGGCTTCTTTTTTCTCACATACATAATCACAACCTATACAGCTCCCACTCTGCCTCACCCTGCACTTCCTCCGCCCTCCCCTCCTGCTCCCTCTCTCCCTCTTCTTCCCTCCCCCTCCTGTGTTATACCCTCCTCCTCCATCCCTACCTTCTCCCCCCTCCTCTCTCCACTCTCTTCCTGCCTCTCTCTTTGTCCCCCTCCCTCTTCACCCACACTCGTTCCCGACTGCACGCCTGCGTATGCGCCGTGTGAGCGCAGATAAAGCTGGTGACGCGCGTGGGCACATACCTGGCAGCGTCGGGCAGCACGCCTCCGGGGTACAGCAGCCGGCCGCTGGTGACGACAACCAAGGCCAACAGCCCCGCCACGGTCTTCCAGGTGTCGCGCGTGGGCCGCTTCCACTACCTCTACTCACCCTCCGCCCAATCCTACGTGCGCACACGCGCCAATGGCCAGGTGCGCCAACGGGGGCAGCAGTGCCTGGGGGACGGGTTGCGGAAGGGGAGGAAGGACGGGAGGGGAGAGGAGAGAGAGGGGTTTAGGAAAGTGGTGCAAGCAGGTGCGGACAGTGCTTGTGTGCCACAGCCCTCTGTGGAAACCGTCAACACCATCCCCACAGCACTCCTCCATTGCTCCCCCCAACGCATCCCACTCACCTCCCCAACGCTCCAACGTGTGGAACATGCGCGCGCGTGCCCCTGCAGGTGACGGTGGGTGGCACGGCACGCACCAACTTCGGGCGCATGGAGGTGGTGGAGGTGAAGAACGTGCCAGCCGTGAGGGGCCCCAACCTGGGCAGCTGGCTCGTGTACGAGAACTGGATGGACCCCTACGCCTTCCCCCGCTACTCCAACATCCTTGACGGCACCAAGGTCGCTGCTCTACTCGCTCCGCTCTGCTCTTCTCCGCTCCGCTCTGCTCTCCTCCCCGCCCAGCGCCCTCTGCACTCTGCATGCACTGCTATCACCATGCATGCCACGCTCTGCCTTCCATGCGCTGCTTGCTGCTGGAAAGCAGTCGAGTGGTGGTTGTTGAGTGCTGCGAGCCATCTGCTGCAATGGGATGTGCCCATCAGCCACGAATTGTTGAGCATCCTTCCAACACCCACCCGATTGCGTGCTAGTCTTGCGACCACTGTGGTGTATGTGCAATCACTCTGCCCCATCGCACAACCTTGACTGCACCTGTTACCTTCCTGCGTGTGTGTGGGTGCATGCAGATGACGCTGTTCAACTACAAATATCTCAAGTACATCACTGCACCGCAAGGAGGAGGAGGATGGGTAAGCGCACCATACAGCGGCTCCCCACGTCGTTGCACACATGCACCTCCATGTGCTGCTCTTGCCTTGCTGCTTCCGTCTCTGGACACACCTCCACCCACCTCCCCCACTCTCTCTCGTCATCCGTGCCTCCCTCTGCAACCTGCCTGACCCCTGCCGTGTGCGGCGCCATGCAGCTGCGCTGTGATGCGGACATGGCAGGCGATTATGAGACGTTCATCGTGCAGACCCAGGCGCCCAACCAGGACTCCTACCATGTACGCCCCACCCTCACCTCCCCCTCCCCCCTCATCCCCCTCCTCTGTCATCACGTGCTCTGCTTCTCCTCTCCCTCTGCTTCTCCTCTCCCTCTACTTCTCCTCTCCCTCTACTTCTCCTCTCCCTCTACTTCTCCTCTCCCTCTACTTCTCCTCTCCCTCTGAATCCCATCCTTCCCCTCCTCACCGTGCTCAAGACGTACCTCATCGTGTTACCCTCACCCATCCCCATGTAACGTCTGGTGGTAGGCCACGGGCTCACACTGCATGCAGGCACCACGGCATGCCATGCCATGCCATTCATGCCTGCCCTCGTCCACTGCACAGCCCACTCCCCTCCACAACCCTCGCCCCCATTGCCACAACGCCCCTCTCCCTCGCTCCTTCCCTTCATTCCCCTCCCTCCCTGCCTGCCCATGCACAAGTCGAGTCACCCACGCATCACCTGTTCCTTCCCCATTTCCTCTCCCCTCTCCCCTCTCCTCTCCCCACTCCCCCCTTCCCCCTCCCCCGTCTACCCTCCCCCCTCCCCTCCGCGTCGCCCTGCCCGCCCCCCATGTGCCCTGCAGCTGTTGGCGGACGAGCGTCTGTTCTGGCGCCTGCCGGCGCGCGCCACCATTCCCTACGCCGACGCCTTCTCAACCAGTGCACTGGTCAGTGCCCCCTGCTCCCTGCTCCCTATCCTCCTCGCACCACAACCACTGCCACTCCATGGCAGGCGAGTCTGACACGCTTCCCCCTCCTCACACGGCTCACCGCACCGCACCTGCTCGCACCACACAGATTCCCAACCCAGCAGTGAGGGAACCTTTCACACCTCATATGGAGGGGCGACGACGCCTCGCTACCAACCCTCCACTCGTCACCCATGTGCCTCATGGCCTTGCAGCGAGTTCCAGTTCTCCATCACGTCTTGCCCTCATCCTCCCCTCCTTCCCCCTCCTGCCTCCTCGTTCACAACTCGCCTCCCCCCTCGCCCTCCCCCCTGGCCGTGCTGGGCGTGCACAGACGCGGTTTACATTCAAGCGCAGCCGCAAGGACCGCACCATGGTGGCCATCCTGGCGCCCAACGGCCAGTACCTGCAGGTGCAGGCGGACGGTGCACTCATTGCCAACTTCCCCCCTGCCAATGTCAGCCTCAACGACGCCGCCTTCCTCAAGAGCCCTGCCGCCTTCCAGTTCACACCGGTACGCCCGGCATGCTCATGCAGCACCGTGGGGCCGGCTGTGGCAGTGCATGTGCTCGGCATGGCATGGCATGGCATGGCGTGGCGTGGCGTGGCATGGCGTGGCATGTCATGGCGTGGCATGTCATGGCATGGCATGGCATGGCATTGCATGGCATGGCATTGCATGGCATGTCATGGCATGGCATGGCATGGCATTGCATGGCATGGCATTGCATGGCATGGCATGGCATGGCATGTCATGGCATGGCATGGCATGGCATTGCATGGCATGACATTGCATGGCATGTTATGGCATTGTATGGCATGGCATTGCATGGCATGGCATGGCACTGCATGGCATGGAATCGCATGGCATTGCATGGCATTGTGTGGCATTGCATTGCATGGCAGGGTTTTGCATGGTATTCCATGGCATGGCATTGCATGGCATTGTATTGCATTGCATTGCATGGCATTGCGTGGCATTGCATTGCATGTAAGCATGTGGAGGAATATTCGGTATTCGAGAACTATTCGACATTCGTTCGAATACATGAATTTCGAGAAAATAGGAATCGACCGAGAATTCGAAAATATTCGAATCACGAGTATTCGTGAATGTAGAATATTCGAGCAACGAATATTCGGGGTATTCGTTACCATTAACCCCCCTCATACTTTCCCTACATGTGGCTATCATCTTTGGCAGTCTGTGTACAAGAGGCCTCATGAGAGCCGTGCAAGATAGTAGCTGTTGAGGGGTTAGGGATAGCGTGTGGTGCAGGATTGAACCGTGGTGTTGGTACTATAAGGTACACTGCATCACCCTGTGTCGAAAATGCATTAGCCGTTCGAAACTGCCTGTACAGAATTTATTATTCGACACTTCATCGTATTCGATTTGAATTCGACAGTATTCGAATCGTATTCGTATTCGGTTTTGGGTCGGTCAGTATTCGGTAGAATAAGAAACCACACAGTATTCGGAGAATATTCAGAAAAAATATTCGTATTCGTATTCGTATTCGGATTTACAGGCTTAATTGCATGGCAGGGTCTTGCATGGCATTGCATGGCATGGCATGGCATGGCATTGCATGGCATTGCATGGCAATGCATGGTATTGCATGGCATGGCATGGCATGGCATGTCGTTGCATGGCATGGCATTGCATGGCATGGCATGGCATGTCGTTGCATGGCATGGCATTGCATGGCATGGCATTGCATGGCATGTCATGGCATTGCATGGCATTGCATTGCATGGCATGGCATGGCATTGCATGGCATGGCACGGCATGGCATTGCATGGCATGGCATGGCATTGCATGGCATTGCATGGCATGGCATGGCATTGCATGGCATTGCATGGCATGGCATTGCATGGCACTGCGTGGCATTGCGTGGCATTGCATTGCATGGCAGGGTTTTGCATGGTATTGCATGGCATGGCATTGCATGGCATTGTATTGCATTGCATTGCATGGCATTGCGTGGCGTTGCATTGCATGGCATTGCATGGCATTGCATGGCATTGCATGGCATTGCATGGCAATGCATGGCATTGCATGGCATTGCATTGCATGGCATTGCATGGCATTGCATTGCATGGCATTGCATGGCATTGCATGGCATTGCATGGCTTGCACGGCATGGCATGGCTTGCACGGCATGGCATGGCTTGCACGGCATGGCATGGCTTGCACGGCATGGCATGGCTTGCACGGCATGGCATGGCATGGCACGGCATGGCATGGCATGGCACGGCATTGCATGGCATGGCATTGCATGGCACGGCATGGCATGGCATGGCATGGCACGGCATGGCATGGCACGGCATGGCATGGTGCAGTCATTGTAATCGGGCTGGAAGCTCTCACTGCCGCGCCTCGCTGCTTCCCTCACTGCCGTGCCTCGCTGCTTCCCTCACTGCCGTGCCTCGGGCCAGATTACCACACATGCCGCTCCTTCCCTCGCTCCTACACCACCTGCTGCTGCCTCTCATTCCCTCACTACCCATCATGCACATCAACCCACCTCCCCGAATCCTCTACACCCGTGCACCCGTGTCACGGAGCAGAAGAAGGAGCTGAAGTACGACTGGCAGCTTGCGTACCAGTGGGGCGGGCAGGCCGCCATGCGCGTGAACAGCATCCGGGCGAGCTTCATCACGGAGCCCGACTGGCGCTACATGTCGCGGCAAGGCGTGAACGCCGTGCGCATCCCCATTGGCTACTACATGGCGCAGGAGCCGAGCCCTGACTGGCCCTTCGTGTGGGGCAGCTACACGTATATCGACTGGGCGTTCAAGATGGCGGCCAAGTACAACATCCGCATCTGGTTCAGCATGCACATTGTGGCCGGCTCGCAGTCAGGCACGTTTGGGTCGCGCCTGGGGTTCGTGGACTTCCCGCGCCCCATCAATGTGGCCAAGACGCTGCACGCCATCCGGTGGCTGGGGCGGCGGTACGGGCGCAACCCCATGTGGCTGGGCATTGGGCTCATGAATGAGCCCAGCCTCAGCATCCCGCTCGACCTGCTACAGGTACGTAAAACGGGGAGATGGATTTGAGGGCGAAGGGGGGGGTGATGCAGCTGCGGTGTGGTTAGTGAGCACGCGGTGCTGGTTGCACTGGTGTGCCTACAGCGTGTTGTGGGTGGGAGTCATGGGGCATGGGCGAGTGCGGAAGCCACAACAAGGGGCGGGGCAGGTGGTGATGACCGGGAGCAATACACGATCACAAGTCAGCCATCCAGCACGACGCCACCACGCATATCTCCAATTGCCCCTCGTTTGCCCCCCTCCCCTTGGTTCCTCTCCCTGCTCGCCCCCCCAGAGCTACTACGTGAACGCAACGGCCATCCTGCGGCGGTGGAACCCGTGTGTGTTCATCGCCATGGAGGGGCGCACGGGGCCCAGCGAGGTGCAGTCGCTCATGGCGAATGAGCCGAACGTGATCCTGGAGACGCACATCTACGATGTGTTCAACACCGATGGGTACACGTCGGCACAGCAGGAGATCTACGAGATGCAGACGTCCAGGAGGGAGAGAATTGCGGAGCACCAGCAGGTGGGTGGGACGCATGCAGCAGCAGCAGCAGCAGCCATGTGGCATATGACCTGTGCACTTCTAGTCATGACAATCAAGCACCTCCCCTCTTCCCCCTCACTCTCTCTGACTGCCATCACTCATCGTGCCCCTGCCGTGCTCCTGATGTGCATGTGCACTGTGGGGTGGCAGTACGGGCGCATGCTGCTGGTGGGCGAGTTCTCCAACGCCATGGGGTACAGCCCAGTCACACCTGACGAGCAGTCCGCCTTCTCCCTCGCCCAGATGCAGACCCTTGCCACCGCCAAGGCCGGCTGGTTCTTCTGGTCCTTCAAGATCAACAAGCCAAGTAAGCACATGCCAACGCACTGCAGTTTGAGCCCCAGGATTCACTCATATGCCAGCACTACCTGCTTGCTGCTTGTCCCCCTTCACTGTTTCTCCTGTTTCTCTTGTCTCAACATGGCATCTCTTGTCTCTGGCCTCTTGTGGCATGTGTTATGAGCAGACACGAGGCATTGGGACTTCTACCAGAGTCGCACGGCAGGGTGGCTGCCTAAGAGGCCCAATGGCCACTGGTATTGACACACCGCACAGCTTGCCATACACACTCGTGCTGTCGTGATCCATACGGTCAAACGCTCTTACAGTCGTTAAAGGAGACAAGGTGTCCAGGCACCAGCAAATATGACTGGCCTGCACTACCTGCCAAACCACAGGTCCTAACCTGCTGCACGCATTCCCAACGTGAATGTTGATCTGTACATTGATTTCCTGTATGAAGAGACTTTCTCCTTGCATAAGCAGTGTCAAGTTCATATCTCCATTGCGAATATAGGCTAGCTTGAGTTACTCCAGAGAGTACCACACTTTTATACCACACTCCCCATCTCTGTGCCATGCTACTAACCCCTGAGGAGATTCCGTCGCTCTTGACATACTGACTCCTCGCACATACCGTGACTCACGGTCCAAATAATCAGGGTAAAATACCCTTTTTGCCCTGATGGGCGGCCGCTTTTTCCTAGTTGCCCTTGCAAAAACGGGGTATCAATTTATTTTACTGAGCAAGAAGGCTACCAGTTTTGTTTTAAACTGATAACGATTTCCGTTACCCTGCCGGTATCAAGGTGCGCTGTTGTTATGAATGAACTTGCAGAGTGCGCAGTAAAACGAATATCGAGAATGAGAATTACAGAATGACGATACAATGGAAGTGATGAGGCCTAAATAGGGGAAGTCCTAGCAAGGCGGGGAGGTTGGGCGAGGATGGCTCGGTGATGGATGCGATTGGAGCGGAGGCCGACTCGGGAGTGGGTCGGCCAACGAAAGAGGCCGAACAGGTTCGTCGCGTGACCTTCAGGATGTACTCGCTAATAACTGACTACAATAAGGATTTCTAATTCCTTACAGCTGTTGTCAAATGTTATTTTAGGTTCTTGGGCTACAGTGAGTAACACTCTAAGGAGTACAACACTTTTAGGGTTGCTATTTGTATAACTAGTTTCCCTAGTTCACACATTCCCGTTGTGTTCCTACTTTGAGATGGTATCAGTTAGGTTCGTTTCCTAGCCTAGCCTAGCCCGTGGTCGCGCCCACCGCGCCCTAGCGCTCTCAGCGCCGTCCGCGCTCTCCGCGCCCTCCGCGCTCTCCGTGCCCTCCTCGCCCTCCATGCCCTAGATCCCTCCGCACCCTGCACGCTCTCGCGCCCTTAGCGCCCCAGCCTGCGCCCTGGCCCTTTGCCCCAGCCCGCGCCCTAGCCCGTCAACCCAGCCCGTGCCCTAGCCCGTCGCCCCAGCCCACACCCTAGCCCGTCGCCCCAGCTTGCGACCTAACCCGTCGCCCCAGCCCGCGCCCTGGCCCGTCGCCCCAGCCCGCGCCCTAGCTCGTCGCCCCAGGCCGCGCCCTGGCCCGTCGCCCCAGCCCCGCAGGCAGCGCGCCGCACGGGTAGCGCGCCCCGCAGGCAGCACGCCCCGTGGGTAGCGCGCCCCATAGGCAGCACACCCTGCAGGCACCGCGCCCCGGAGCGCTTTAGCGCCAGAAAATAAATAAATTAGATAAACCCTAGAAAAAAAAGGTGGGGTTTAGGGTGGGGGCTTGCAACTGTCGCACGCGTTCCTGCTAACCAAACGACCTACACAGTTGCCTACATCTCGCAGCCGTCGGTAATGCAGCCCCTACTGCCACACGTACTTTCCACTACCAGTGGCTAGCGGCAGCCGACAGCCGCACTTACTGTCTCTAGCTCCGGCTGTTCCTACCTCCAGCCGGCCCTAGCTCGCCATTTCTGGCTCCAGCCAGTTGTGCTCCAGTCGTTCTAGCTCCAGCCGTTCTCGCTCCAGCCGTTCTCGCTCCAGCCGTTTCAGCTCCAGCCGGTCTAGCTCAAGCCGTTCTTGCTCTAGCCGTTCTCGCTCCTCGCTCCTAGCTCAGTTTGCTCAGTGCTCCAGACGTTCCTCGCCTAGTTTCACCTGGCGCTCCTAGCTCAGTTTGCTCCGTGCTCCAGCAGTTACTTGCCTAGTTTCACCTGGCGCTCCTAGTTGTTCTCGTTTGTCACTGCAGCCGTCCCTAGCTCCTGTCGCTCCTAGCCTGCCGCTCCTGCACCCCTCTGTCGAGATAGCAAGCAGAAATGATTGCATTGAATGAAATGTGGGTACAAGTACTAACCCCTAAATTCGGGTTGTACCCCATATGAGCTACCCCACTATAGCCTACACAGAACTAACACATATATAGTTTGACACACCCCCATAGGCGAAGTGGGGGAGAACAAGGGGTCACAAGATCAGTCAAGAAAAGCAAAGCAAGCTCGGGGTGGATCACAACGTCACCACACAGTCGAGCACAAGCAAAAGGCCACAAGGCCAGTTCACATGCAGAGGTATAAATGCAACAACAACAGTACAGTGATCACTACCTAGCAAGAGCAAACATACAGATATATATATGTATATAGATCACAGTACAAGCAAAGTCAAGAAGTGAGCAAGTGAGACAAAACAGGCACAAGGCCTAACATAGTACAGAAGTGCGGATGATCACCAAACGGAAGTGCCTTGGTGAATATATCAGCAGTGTTGGCCCGAGTGGCCACGTGAGCAAGACGAAGCTGATCACGCTGCTGCAACTCTCGAGCCAGGAAGTAACGCAGAGCGATGTGCTTCGTTCTGTGCTCCTGTCTGTGCTCCTGACACAAGGCAATGGCGGCCTTGTTGTCTACGTACAGAACTGGAGGAGAACGAGGCCGCTCACCCAAGTCAGACAGTAGGTAGGTGAGCCAGCGTAACTCCTGTGTAGCCATGGCTGTGGCGTAGATCTCAGCCTCACAACTGGAGCTGAGAACAGAAGACGAGGGGGTAGACCGCCAAGAAACAGAGCTGCAGCCAAGGCTGAAAGTGTAACCCTATGACGTCAGCTGCGTAGCCTGGTCGTCAAACCAAGAAGCGTCTGAGTGTCCAGTGAGGACAACTGAGCTCCGCCCTCCATGCACGAGCCCCATGCCCAATGTACTGCACAAGTAGCGCAGTACCCTCTTTGCAACATCCATGTGCACCTTTCGGTGCCTACCAGGAGCCACGTAGCGTGCCAGAAGGCCAAGAGGGTACGCAAGGTCTGGACGAGTGCAGGTCATCAGGTACATGAGGCAGCCCACTAGCTCTGGGTACGGGCCACTCGGCTCTACGGACTCGTCCAAAGGTGGAGCTGAGAGCGAGTGACCTGTAGCCAGAGGAGTGGACTGTGGCGAGGACCAAGTGAAGCCGAAGCGCTTAAGGACCTGCCGCACCATGTGTGACTGAGTTAGGGTGATGGTGCGACGTGCTCTGTCCTGGGTGATCTGCAAACCAAGGCAACTGCGCAGCTCACCCAGGTCTGTGCACGTGTGTTTATTTTGCAGCTCCGACTTCACAAGGGCGAGAGCCTAAGTGTCAGCAGTGGCAAAGACCAAGTCGTCAACGTACACGAGGATGTAGAACGGCGGCAGTGAAGTGCCGGTGTGTAGAAACAGCGACGGGTCAGCAGTGGAAGGGGCAAACCCAAGAGCCGCAAGTGTCCTCCTCAGTGTTTCATGCCACCCACGAGGCGCCTGACAGAGAGATTGGCCGACGGAGGCTCCACTGGGTACCAGGAGGGAACGACCCAGTGAAGCCAGGAGGGCAGCACATCCAGATCTCCTCGTGCAGACTGCCCTGTAAGAACGCTGTGCTGAAGTCCAGAGAGTGAAGCTCGTAGTCACGCTGAGCGGCAACGTGCAGCTGCACCCAAAGAGTGGTCATCTTCGGGGGTGGCGGAGAAGGTCTGGAAGAAGTCAACTCCCTGTTGCTGACTGAAGCCTCGTGCAATGTAACGAGCCTTGAAGACAGGTGGAGAACCCGGCGGCCGCTTCACCCTGAAAATCCACATGCCATCGACGATGTTCGCCCCAGGAGGGGGAACCTCATCGACGTAAGTGCCTGTGGACTTCCAAGATGCCATCTCTGCGTCCATGGCTATCAACCACTGAGAGGAGTAGGGACCCGCGATCGCCTTAGCGTAAGAATGCGAAGTCGGGATGTCGGGTGCATCCGGGTCTCCTTCAGGGGCAAGCAGCATGGCCACGAGATGAGGCGCAGCAGCTGCAAGACACTCAAAGTCCTCCTGCCTGTCCTCAAGGACGTCCGTGCCAAGAGCACACTCACCCCCAACGGATGGAGGACAGACAGACTCAGACTCAGCAATAAGTCTAGCAGCGTAGTCTAGACGACAGGCAGCAGCAAAGTCAACAAGCTCAGAGACTAAGGCAGACGCAGCAGCAGACTCAAACGACGGGTCAGTGACAACAGTGGCGAGCAGACGCGTGACAGTAGGGTGAACAGCACGAACCAGGTCAAACTCAGGGTCTTGAACGTCAGGCAGAGAAGACGCAGGAGGAGACGATAGGGGAACACGCTGTGGAAGAGAGGAAGGACGAAGTGCCATAGCGTGCGTGCCAGGGACAGGAGGTGGACGCTCACGAGGAACACGACGACCAGTGCGACGCACGCGAATAGGCGAGGCAGGACGAGACGCAGGCTCACGACGCTCTATAGGCGAGTCTGTCTGCTCAGTGTAAGGAGAAGGAGCAGGCAGTGGTGAGCCGGGCTGTAACGGAAGGCCAGTAGAAGACGGGAGGCCAAGAACCTGGCGAAGCACGGAGTCAGGCGTGGCAGAGACGACGGTGACGGCAGAGCAGAAAATAGTCGCGACGGCGTAGTGCCACCAGTACCAGTAGCTCCAGCGCCTCCAGCAGCTCCAGAACCTCCAGCTCCAGCGCCTCCAGCAGCAGCACCTCCAGCTCCAGTAACTCCAGCAGCAGCACCTCCAGCTCCAGCGCCTCCAGCAGCTCCAGAACCTCCAGCTCCAGCAACTCGAGCAGCAGCACCTCCAGCTCCAGCGCCTCCAGCAGCTCCACAACCTCCAGCTCCAGCGCCTCCAGCAGCAGCACCTCCAGCTTCAAGGACTCCAGCAGTAGTACCTCCAGCTCTAGTGCCTCCAGCAGCTCCAGAACCCCCAGCTCCAGCGCCACTAGTAGCAGCACCCTCAGAAGCGGCACCTCCACCCTCAAGGTCCCC